CCTCTGAGTGGATATTGGTGGGAACTTGAATGCGTAGGGGATTGTGGCTGGTACTTAGGTTTCACTGCTGCAACCTCAGGAACAGCTTATCTTCCTGAACAACTAGGTCCCTGCCAGCATGATCTGCTTTTAAATTCTTCCTTTTCCTCTAATTTCAACTATAGTCAGCATCAGCTACTAACAATGATCAAGCATTTTCTATGTGGCAGGCATCTTTCCGGGCATTGCTCTAATCGCTATGATATGGTTGTCCCCATGTAAGTACGCAAGGCTCAAAGATGCCAAATGGTTTGTTCCAATTGCACAGTGACTGGCAGAGCCCCCACTTTCATTCCTTAAACACCCCAAGGACAAAAGCTTCCATCATTCTCCATTTGCCTATAGGATAGAAGCCAAATTCCTCACTGGCAGGCAAGGTGCCATGCTATCTTTCCAACCTTATCTCCTGCTGGGCTCCAGCTTAACTCCTCTGTTCCAGACTGGCATGTCTGTGCCCTCTCCCCCAACCCACAGGCTCACTCCCGGTGCCCAGCTTTCCGTCCACTGTTCCCACGAACTAGAATGTCTCCTTTTCTCCTGTCTGCGAGACTACAGGACAGTTCAGTCTTCCATCTCATACAAGGTCCTCTTCCACTAAATGCTTCAGACCCTCCCAGTCCAACTTCTGCCTGCTGCTCATACCTGTCACTGGGGCGCTGATCACACCCTGATATTGTTTCTCAATATCAGGTCAGGCCAGCAGACACAGGGAGCTGAAGATTTTGACTCATATAGGACGTCCTTAAGAGTATACGTGGTCAGAAACACCACAGAAAAGTTTCCCTTGACCTGCTGTGCCAAGGCCTAGAACAAAACCAGCTTTCCATGGACAAGATGCAAAGCCGATGGAATTTGTCATCAGTGCCTTCTAATATATAGTAGGAGTTTGGTCTCCTCACAGGCTCTTCCAATATGTGGAAGGTATATATGCACCTTGCTTTCTCTCTACTCCTTTTTTTTCCTAATAAGGAACTAACAACAACAATAACAGACGTTATTATGTACCACTTACTTTTCCAAGCACTTCCCAAGTACTAACTAATTTACTCTTCCTAGCAACTCTTTGAGGTAGGCATTATTACCCCCCTTTTACAGATGAGAAGACTGAGTCCTAGAACAGTTAAGTAACTTGCCTAAAGTCACATAGCTGGGATTCAAAACCAGACATTTAATTAATATACTATACTGCCTCACAAATACATTAATGTATTATTTTTTTAATAGTGAGATAAATGCCTACTGAGTGTTAAAAAATCAGATAATATACAAAGCATGAGAATATTATCCATAATCCTATCACACAGGGAAGATTAAATAACCTACTCAAGCAGATATAAACATTCACTTGTTTGTATTTCAACATACAACAGGCAACTTGCCTGTCTATGGTATGGTACCATATTGCACGTAATCGTAGTTTTCTAATTTTCTTTTCTTTTTTTTTTTTGAATTGGAGTCTCACCCCATCGCCCAGGCTGGAGTGCAGTAGGGCCACCCTGGTGTTGAACTGCTAGGCTCCGGTGATTTTTCTGCTTCAGCTTTCCAAGTAGCCGGAACTACAGGCGTGCGCTACCATGCCTGGCTAATTTTTTGATTTTATTGTAGAGATGAGGTCTCGCTGCCCAGGTGGGTCCCAAACCTGCGGGCTCAGACAATCCTCTTGTCTCAGCCTCCCAAAGTGCTGGGATTACAGGCTTGAGCCACCTTGCCCGGCCTTCCATTTTCATGGGTAGTTTTCTTTTTGTCTTTTAATTCAAAAATTTAATTGGGGCATAATTTATATACCATACAATTCACTTGTTTTAATAATTTTAGTAAATTTACAGAGTTTTGCAGCCATCACTACAATCCCATTTTAGACTATTTTGTTATCCCCAAAAGATCTTTTATGCCCATTTGCATTTACTCCAGGTTGCCACCCCAGCCCCTGGCAAACTGCTAATCTATTTGTTCTCTATATTGCTTTATCTCTTCTGGACATTTCATATAAATGGTGATCTTTGGAACCTAGCTTCTTTTACATAGCGCAATGATTTAAAGGTTCAAGCATGCATCATTACTTCATTACTTTTGATGGCTGAATGATACCCTGTTATATGGATGTACTACATTTTGTTTATTCATTCACCAATTGATGGACATTTTAATTGTTTTAGATGAATATGACTGCTATGAATTTTCATATAGAAGTCTTTTCCTTTTTGGGGGGTAGATATCTAGGAGTGGAATTATTAGGTCATATGGTTAAGTTTTCCAAAATGACCATATAATTTTGCATTCCCAAAAACAATATATGAGAGTTCTATTTTCTCCACATCCTAGCCAACACTTGCTATTGTCCATCTTATTTTATTATAGTTATCCTAGTGGGTGTGAATGGCTTTAATTTGTATTTTCCTAATGGCTACTGACACCCAGCATCTTCCCATGTGCTTATCCACCATTTGAATATCTTCTTTGGTGAAATATCTATTCAAATCTTTTGCCCATTTAAAAAATTGAGGGGCAACCCCCTGGGATCCCCTTCCACTGTGGGAGCTTTTCTATCCTCTTAACAAATTCCACTTTTTAAAAAATTGAGTTATTTGTATTTGTTTTTTTTATTATTAAATTGTAAGAGCTTTAAAAATATATTCTGGGTGCAACCCTTTATCAGATATATTTAGATATATGCTTTCCAAATATTTTCTCACAGCCTGTGGCTTGTCTTTTTCTTTTTCTTTTTTTTTAAGTCAGGGTCTCATTCTGTCACTCAGGCTGGAGTGCAGTGGCATGGTTACAGCTGACTGCAGCCTCCACCTCCTGGGCTCAGACAATCATCCTGGCTCAGCCTCTCAAGTAGCTGGGAATACAAGCATATGCCATCATACCTGGCTAATTTTTTGATTTGTTGTAGAGACGGGGCATCGCTATGTTGCCCAGGCTGGTCTAGAACTCCTGAGCTCAAGCAATCCTTCCGTCTCAGCCTCCCAAGTACTGGAATTACATGCGTGAATCAGCATGCCCGACTTCTTTTCACTTTCTGAATGGTGTCTTTTGAAGCATAAAAGTTTTGAACTTTGATGAAGTCCAGTTTATCATTTTCCCTTTTATTGCTTACACTTTGGTGTCTTATCTAAGAAGTTTTTGCCTAACCCTGATGTGTTTTAGAATTGCCCTCCCTGCCACTTATCAGTATGTCTTGGACGTATTTCTAAGTTAATAAATACAGACCTATAGCATCATCTTTAAGGCTCTGGTTTCTAGAAAAGAGAGTGAAGAAAGGAGACAACAGAGCCAGGCTACTCAAAATATCCAGTATGACTCTATTCATTCTTAGGGCTTCCAGTCTCCCTTTCAGATCTTCTTCTGTCTGGTTACTCCTCTGTGGGTTTGGGAATAAAAACATTAGTAGGCTATTAACTTCATCACAACATTTTATATTTTCATAACTTGGTCACACAGATTCCTAGACCAAAATTTTCTCGAGGCTTAAATCCCTTTTTCACAGATTGTGGTGAGGGGATGCTTATAAGGAACATGTATTTCCCTGTAATTTGAGATCTGATAGCTGCTTCTTCCTGCATCTACTTCAATCTAAAACTGGACTGGGCCTTGGGAGTGATTCAGCTCCAGTTAAAATGTAAATATGGAAAAAGAAAATAGTGAATAATAGTAATTGGCATGTGGGTTTTCATGGAAGACTTTAAAGAAATGGGATATCCTAAACAAAACAGTGGTTGTCATTGAAGAAGTTCTAGAGTGATTGCATCCTGGCCCCTATCAGAAGTAGAGCTTCACTGGTTTCACAGGTAGGGTATGAGGTGTTGTGTAAAGCTAGAAAACTTTTTAGAAAATAATTTTCAGACAGAGAAGACTAATGGAAAAAATCCAGACAGAATGAAAGGGCTTGTGAGAGGGAGCGCCTCAAAATTAGAACTCAAAAGGCAGATTAAAGGATTTCAGAGCCCAGTGCTGAGAACACCAAACTGCCGAAAGAGATGGCAACTGAACAACCATTTTGATGAGAAGCCAAGTGGGGTGGCTGTGCTTCTTTGGAGAACTGATACCCTAGGTTTGGGGCCCAGAATCAAGACGGTGAGTACCAGCGCTAGTGGGGAGCAAAGATCATTCAAAATGCACTGAGATCAGACTGGGGTCTTTTACTTTGTCACATGGCAAACAATACCAAGCCACTGCAAGAACTGTTTACACGGAATGTACTGGAAGTCTCAGACATGGAGATACCAGCTGGAAGCCACTGCAGAGTTTCATACTTGAGGTGAAGGGCTGGTCTTAGGGGACATGTGGGTGTGGAGGAAGAACCCGTCGGCAGGCCTTAGTTGTGCAGTGGCAGGGAGGACATGGTTGGTGTTCAGGATGGGAGCCCTAGGAAAGGCTGTACAATAACGATCGAGCATTTTTTGTTTTGTTTTGAAGAGGTGTAATTACATAAAGTAAAATGCACAGATTTGAAGAGTAGAGTGGGTTTTGATAAATACTACATCAGTGTAACCACCCCCTCCAAAAACTCAGTTTTTAAAAAAAGTGTAAGTTTCATGTGCCTGCAGAGTCTTAGTGAGCTGCCACAAAGGCAAGAAGCTGTATGCACCTGCAATGAGAAGCAACAAGGGCTGGAACTGTAGATTGGTATCTGGAGCCAGGGGGTTGAAATCCTGCAAGCATATGAACACAGGTGCAGGAAAGGATACATGGGGAACACAAAGTCCCAATCTTTGAAAGTTCTGGCGTGCTTGAGCCCCACCCACGAGGGGTCTTATTTGCCTATATAAATGCAGAGACTTCTCTTTTCTCTGGTCGTCAACCTCATTTTCATACTTAACACTCTTAAGCGAGAAAGAAATCATTTTCTGAGTTGGCTCCTGCCAAGTTCTGCTCTGTCAAACCTGGAGAGTGCGCCTCTTGTGGGGGGAAGTGAGCTAGAGGACCCCACAGGGTGGTCTGCACCTCCTCCAAGCAGCATGCACGACGCTGCTCCTGACCTGGGAGCCCAGCTCCCTCTGTGCAACACACTTTGGCAATCCGGTCTGGACACCTCTGAGAGCTTGGCGGGGGAAGGGTGAGGCACAGCGTCTCCAGGCTCAGCACCTATGATGCGCTTGCAACGACCCTGCAGCAATGCCCTCGGTGCTTGCAGCCGGTGCAACCTTGCACGCAGCTAGAGCGCGGTAGCTGGAGTTGGGGGGCGGTGGGCGTGGCCACGCTCCCTCGCGCCGTCTCCCTCCCGGCCAGTCCCGGGAACGTTCTGAAAAGTATCCAAAAGTTCTGCATCGCGCGCGCGCGCGCGCCAAAAGAGAAAAAAATAAGGCACAACCCCCCACCACTCCGGGCGTGGCGTGTCCGGACCTCACCACTCTGGTTGCACCTCCGGCCGGGGCGCACACGCCTTCTGCGCCTCCTCTCTGGGAGACTCGCCGTCGGCTGGGCTCTTCCTTCGTAGCCATCTCCAGGCGGCCGGAGCGTTCTTGCGCTTCTCCTTGGGCCACCATGCCCAACGACGACGCATTCAGCAAGTCCTCGG